GTGTACTGCATACATTTGTTGAGCTAGTTTCTCTATTTTTTAGTTCAATGCTTCAATCTGTTGGGTTATAAGTTTATTCTGGGTTAAGCGAGCATCTGATGTGCTAAGTTCAAGTACTCATTTCCTCTGAACTAGATGTCTATCATGTTGGGTTTGTTGGTCTGTAGAGGCTAGTGCATCAATAATTCTTGTGGCATGTTCGATGTCTACATCCAACATGGATCCTCCTGCTGCAGCATCTAATAGCATCTTTGTATCAGGTTGTAGGTCAATATAGAAAATATTCAACTGAGCAATGTCTTCAAATCCATTATTTGGGCATCTCCTTAACAGTGACTTAAATTTCTCTCATGCTTCACAAAAAGGTTCATTTGCTCCTTGTCTGAAAGTAGAGATGTCGAATTTTGCCTTGATGTAGCGAGATGGTGGAAAAAAATTTGTTCAAGAACTTCTCTTATACATTACCCCAGTTAGTCAAACTCTGATTAGGATGTGTCTTCAGTCACTCCTTTGCCTTGCCAACCAAAGAAAAAGGAAATAATCTCAAATATGCATATTCAACATCTGCTTCTCTAAATCCCATGGTACCAATCAACTCATAAAAAGTAGACAAGTGAATGTAAGGATCTTCATGATCTATTTTGGTGAATTAATGAGAACTAATCAAACTTAAGAAAGCTGGTTTCATCTCCAATGTTTGGTTGGCTGGTATTGCAATGCTAAAGAAATGTCTCGGACCTTGCTGCATAACATAATCTCTGAGTGTTCTTCTAGGTGGATTTGGATTTAGATTTGATCCTTCCTCCTCCATGTCTTCTATGATTGGATCTAGTAAATTGAGTGTAGGAGAAGGGTTAACAGATTCTCGTGTTGTTTGTTCTTGAGTTTCTCTTCTTCTTCTACCCTGGTTTCTACGAGCAGCCTTTTCAATCTTAGGATCAAATTCTAATTGATCTGTAGATACCTGTCCTCTTAAAAGCATAAATCAAAGAGTAACTCAAGCAAAGATTAGCACATAACAACAATTAAGCAAAATAAAACTAAAAAAAATAAAACAAAAACAGAAATAAAAATAAAATACATAATAAGCTAAACAAAGAATTCCCAAGGAACGTCGTTCCCCGGCAACGACGCCAGAAATACTTGTTGAATTATTGGCAAGCGTACCAAAATTATCAATCGCAGTATAGTATTTCGATTAAATAAAAGTCAATCCCACGAGGAACGGTTTCAATGGAAATTCCCAATTATATGCTTACTAAGTGGATTAAAACAAAATGGGTTTTGTATAAAGAGCTGAATTGAAATTAAATGATAAAGAACTGTAAATTGTTTAGAAAAGATCAATTAAATGCACCTAGGATTAACTTCCTTCCTTTTACCTCTTTTATAATGACTATGTTTAATTAAGATCATCAATTAACCTAACAATGTTGATGTCACTTACTCAAATCATCCATGTTGATTCCTCACACATGAAATTCATAAAAAAAACCTAATAAATGTTGATTTCGCATACAATTAAGAGATTTTTCAGCATTAGGTTTAGGGTGTTAAGAAATTGATACATTCATTCCATTCCTGACAATTAAGGTAACAAATATTCTTATCATGATCTAGGGTTCAAGATATATTTTTCAATCATATCCCAAACATCAAGAATAAACATTCAAAAGCATAAAGGATAAGAATAACAACATGAAAAACATAGATTAATATCTCAAAATATCACCAAGATACAAAAGAGTTCAAAGGAAGTGCACCAAATCCCAAGAGAATGAAGTTAGACACTCATTATGGTCATTACAATGCTCCAAATGAGGAAGAAGGGAAGAATTGATGAAGATTGGACGAAACCCTAGCACTGGTGGCACCTCTTCTCCCAAAAACCTTCTTCCTTTCTCAAAACACATCTTATCTATTTATAGGAAATTTGGGCCTCGCGTTTTTCACTCAAGTGAAAGTTGTATTTCTGCTCAAGCGAGAAAGTGCTCATTTGAGCAAGTGAGTTCCAGAGAAGTTTAACTAATTTTTGCTCAAGCGAAAATAATGGTGCTTGAGCAAATGACTTCCAGAGAGTTTTAACTAATTTGCGCTCAAGCGAGAGTCTATCTCGCTCGAGCGACTTTCATGTTGAAAATTTTCTTCGTCCTTTCAATTTTTGCTTAAATTATGTTTCTTGCTCTTGTATCAAGGTATTCTCGAATTCATCCTACATTGGGAGAAAAATAGATTAAAATCAATATAATTGAAGTGATTACATAACAATTTAAAACATAATTATATCAATTTTTACCACTTAACAAAAGAGTTAACAAGAACTCCTTAAATATAGAGAATACTTGAAGTAAGTTCCCTAAGACGGTGGTCATTACCTAAACTTAGAGATCATATATTGTTATGTGAAGGTTTCACTTCTTACGTTGGACAACTTATCATAACGCTTTCTACGTATATAAATGTGTTTATAGTTGTTATAATGTCTTTGAATGTATAGTTCTAGAGGTAATTCGTTTCTATAAAGAATTTGAAATGTTTTGTGATAAAAATGCTTGGATAGAAAAATTTCAAAAGAAAGTGAAAATTATATTTTATTAATTGATCATGTGTTTCTGATCAAAGCGAGATTTTTAATACATTTTCTTACGTTAAGGAATGACAATATCTAAAATATGACACTGGATATTAAGGTTTGATTAATAATATCTAGAGTAATAGACCAATGAATCTTACCATGGAAAGATGTCTAATTTAACCTTTCAAAATTAGCTTCTAAGGTGAGGTTTACATTTGAATTAGAGTTATCAAAACGAACAACCTGACATAGTCTGACCTAACTCTATAGATCACATCAAAAAAATTAAAAATGAATCATAATTTTTAATCTAGTATGACCCTATATTAGGCCAATGAATTAACAAACCAATTTTAGCCTGATTGTAAATTAAAAAAAGAATTATTAACATGTCTATACTAAAATAAATTAAAAAAAATTAAAAAAAATTATATTAATAAATTTTTTTTATTTGAAGATATCATTATTTAATATATAAATTATAAGAAAATAAATAAGCTAAATATTAAAGTAAGAGTTAAAAACTTACTATTCATTATCATCATTATTGTTTTCTTAATTTATTGATTTAAAATAGTAAATAATGTATTGATCTTGGTATAAGTGGTTATTGAAGACCTTACTTATATTTATCCTTATAATAAGTAAATGTTTTATTAAAATAATTTATAATATACATATTTTTTTAATAAAATAATATTCCTTTAACTTTTATTTAAAAAATTATTATTATTTTGTAAAATAAGTTGTCTAATAAACCTATGGGTTGGTATAATTTAAGTCCATAGGTCATAACGTAACTAAATCAGACAAAAATAAGTTTGATTTAATTTAGGCTAAATTTTTTTATTTAACTTAACCTATATTTTGGATATTTCAGGTCCACATATCAGATTGAGTTTATTTTAACATTTTGAATTATATATTATTACTTAGTTATATGTTTAGTCAATGTGCAATATCCAATAATTAAAATTTTAGAAATTTTTGAATATGTAAAATAAAAAATTCCAAATTTCACGTAAAAAAACTAAAAATTTCAAATTCTCCGTATTATATACTATGTAAATTTACATCTTCTCTCAATGATGTCATCAATTTAGTCAACATGGAGACTTTGTCAATTTAGCATTGTTTTTTTTATTATTTATGTTGACAAGGGTTTCTTTCACGTGGTTGTTGGTGATAGATATTTTTCTATTGTCATATTTATCGGTTGATGTTAGTCTAAGTTTTTTAGTTAATATCAACATTATTTTTTAGTTGATGTCAAACATTTTTGTTTTTCAATTATTGTCAACTAAAATTATTTTCTATTGATATAATTTGAGATTACTTTTTAACCAATGTCGATTAGAATATAAGTTATGGTTATATGTCAACCAATATTAGTCAAGGTTTTCTCAACAAATAGTAGAACTAATTTTATATCAATTTATATATATATATATATATATATATATATATATATATTTTAATAAGACTATTTTTCAACTGAGAAATATGATAATAGAAAAATTTTAGTTGATGTTGACAAAGATTGATTTTTTTTTTAAATATTTATACATAAGTCGACATTAATCAAGAGTTTTTTTTATCAAAGTGACTATAATTATTTTTGGTAGATGTTAGTCACATATTTTAGATGGAATTTGTTAGGGTTTTCTTTATCAACTAAGATTATTTTCAATCAATGATACTAATATTTTTTTTTCAAAGTTTCTTTGTATTTTTTTATATGGATTAGAAGAAATTTCAAACAATTTTAACTAAGATTCTTTTTGCCAATGTCACCCGTCCTTATCTAATTCTTGTAACACAACGGACCCTTATCTAATTCTTGTAACACAACTTAGTTTATGAAAGAAAGAACTACCCTTATCCTTAACTACAATCTTGAGAATACTAGTTTTAAAATTTGTGTACAAGGATGTGTACAAAATGAAAAAAATGCCTAATAAAAGACACTCAAGCTATTAGATCCACTAATGGGGTACTATAATGGTATAAAAACACTTGTAATGTTAGCTAGAGAAGAAGTGTCTAATAAAGGATATATAATGCTTGTGGTGACACTTACTATTCATATGAAGTTGAGTTGACACAATATTCAACACCCTTCAAATGCTTATAATAGGAATACATGAATGTCCTAAAACAAGCAGTCATACACAAAAAAGAGTTATTATTCCAATAAACATTGTCAATAAACCAATAATAATACACCAATGTGATATTATTCATGCTCCAAGTCTCCAACACATTCTACCTCTTTATATATGAGGTCAAACACTAAACCACTTGTACTTTGAAAAAAAAAAATCCTACACATGAGGGTCAACTCAATCATACCAACTATGCTTTGATAGTTGGTCTTTTATATGAATGATACTCAATATTGTTACCAAGACCCTCTTAGTTTGACATGTTGCTACCACCATGGTCCAAGAGACACATAGCTCAATCTACCTTAGATTCAGAATCGTTGTCACTACTACTACTAACTGTGTGTTGTTTCTATCTCTGTTGATATCATTTGCCAACCTGATGATTCCTTAGTGTTAATAAGAAGAAATAGAAGACATGATTACCTTGATTAGTAAATAATTAAAACTTGCAAACTTCTCAAAACAAATAACTCACAAATAGGGATGGCAAAACGGGCTAGGCCCAGCGGGCTGGCCCGCCAGCCCGCCATAATATGGCGGGGCGGGTTGGTGTTTTCAGCCACCAGCCCGTTTTGGCCCGCCCCACCAAGCCCGCCAACCCGTCGGGCCAACCTGCATGGCGGGCCGGCCGCGACCCGCCTAATTAATAAAAAATATTTTTTTATTGTAATAAAATTAATTATAAAGATAATATATAAAGTTAAAATTTTTAAAAAGAGAATTAAAAAAGTTTCATTGTCACGAAAAATATTCTCCTTCACTGAAATATAACCTTCTCTCCTGTTCTCCTTATTTATCCTAAGCACTCGATTATATTTATCCTTATTACTTCAATTAAAGGTATAAGAATTACTCAACCAAGAATGATATGAAGTTTTATCAAATAAAAAAGATATAGATATTTGAATTTTTCAATATAAAAAATATAAATTTTATAAGTTTAACGTTATTTATTTATATATATATATATTTGTTATTATTTATTATTATGTAAATTTTATTATTGTTCTAAATTATAATTTCTTAAAATAATGTATTGATTTATATTATTAAATTGAAATATATATATATATATATATATTGAATTATTGACAAACAAATAATAATCTTATTATTAAATTTATTAAAAAAATTATTTTTTCTAAATTATGGCAGGTCAGCCAGCTCCTTAGCGGGCGAACCAAGGTTTACAGCCCGTCATGACTATATCGGGCCAGCCCACCCCGCCCCGCTTTTGGCGGGCCAAAGGCGGGGCGGGCCAAAACGGGACGGGCTGGCCTGTTTTGCCATCCCTGCTCACAAACAACAAGAATAATTTGGCAACTTCTCAAAGTAAATAATTCAAACAATAGTGGTTTCAACAAATAATATAGAAAATGAAGTCTCATGTCCCCTTCAACCATTAGATCTCCATAAATCTAATAGTCATTAGAGGTTGACATGTCAAACCCCTAAAACATCACATCCTACTTATCTTCTCATGTAGCTTTTATAAGGTTTTTCATTTGTTCTATCTCGACAAGCCTGGAGGCTAATGATTTAATGTGTCAAATAGGTCTTAACTTATTGAGTAAGATACATTGTTTAAATCTCAATCAAAAGAAAAGAAAATGATTATTGAAGTAAGTTTTCAAAAGAAATAGACAATGTCTTGATATAATCATCTCTTCATCCTTTATAACTCATTAGTCCTAGGGGACTAATTCATAGTTAATATGTTAAAAAAGTCTAAATATAGATGCTCAAGCTAATGTGTATAATCAGTGTGTTGAAATGGTGTCAATAGAAGACTTTAAAATTTATGTATGAGTTAAGAAGGTTTCAATATACTTATACAAATTGCACATGCTTAGAACAAAATTGATTAACTAATCAAGATGATGATTAAAACTTCTGTATCCTTGTTCATTAGATAATACTTTATTTAAAATATGTATAAATAATAAAAGATATAAGATATATGACATATATTTATTGTGTATTTATGACTCCACTAATATACTAATTGAAAGGTATTGAGAGGTGAATTGCATTTTAGAGTGAAAATGAAACTAATAGTTAAAAAAATCCTATATAATTTATGGTCTTATAACATTGAACTTAATGAAAAAAATTAATAATAAAAATAAAAAATAATTAAAAAGATATTATTTATTTTTAATAAAATATATATTTAAATTAATAATATAAAAGTAACTACGAATTTAATAAATTTATAATTTAAATATTGTACTTTTATTAAAAAATTTGTTTTATAGATTTTTAAAATTCAATTTTCAAAATTTAATTACTTGATTGGTGAAAAAAAATTCTTCTAAATATGTAGAGAATATAATTTTTTTTACATTTTTTTAATAAAATTTTGCTCAAAACTAATGTTAACAAAACTAATTAATTGAGGAAATATTTTTTTTATTACAATAAGAAAGATGAATTATATAAAGAACTAAAAGGAAAAAAACAACTTTATATATCTGGTTTTACAATAATTAATATTTATTATTTATTTTTCTGGATACATAAATATTTTTTATTTCTGAAATATAGTCGTATTTTATTATTATTATTATTATTTTTATATATTTTGATTTTGATTCTATTTTTTTTTTGATCATTTGTATTTTATTTTAATCCTTTTAATATATATTTTTTGTTTAAGTTAATCCCTAGAATAGGCATATAATTTATGTTTAGTCCCTATAAAATAATTTTCAAAAAACTAATTTAAGAAAAATATTTAATAGGCATATAATTTATGTTTAGTCCCTATAAAATATTTTTCAAAAAACTAATTTAAAATGAAAAATATTTCTGGGATGGAAACAGTAAAATAAATATATTAACAGGAATTAAAGAAGAATATTACAAGAACCAAAAATCATATAAGAAAAAAAAAAGTAAAATCCAACTAGATTTCGTAAATAAAGAACATATTTATTTAAGTTGCTTTTTGTAATCATTTTTTTGTACGAAACAAAAAAAAATAAAAGAATAGGGCCATGGAAGAACTGATAGACGGAAGCCCAGCCCAAGTAAAAGAGTGCAATAGAATGCCCAATTTTGAGACTTGCTCCCTACTCCTTCTCTCTCATTCAGTCTCAACTTATAGCTCGCACCTTAGAATCTAACGTTATTACTCTCTCCGACCTCTCTCACTTTCTCTCTCTCTCTCTCTCTCTCTCTCTCTCTCAGGTTAGTTCTCCTTACACAAAATTTCCACTGTTTTCTAGCTTCTTCCCCTTCTACTCTATGCTCCTCACAGATCGCCGTCTTTTTCTTTTGTTCACGCCTTGCAATTTAATTTGCCTATCACACACTAATATTTGTGAAAATTATTTTTTCTTTTCTACTAGGGCTGGTATGGAAAACCATCATTCAATTGTTTGTTATTTTCGATTTTCAACAATAAATTAAAAAAAAAACGTTATTGTTTGGTTTTGTGATTATAACTTGCGAGTGAGGTTGTGAGTGCAGATTCTTGCGCGGTTTATCATGGGGGATAGTCAGTATTCGTTTTCTCTCACCACATTTAGGTATGTCTAATGCTGATAACTGTCAAATTAATTTAATTTTTGTCTATAAAGGGAATGGTGTGATGTGTTTTTCTACTGATTCTGTTGTGTTGTGGAACAGTCCTTCTGGAAAGCTTGTTCAGATTGAGCATGCTTTGACGGCTGTTGGGTCTGGACAAACGTCTTTGGGAATTAAAGGTGATTGGTTATGTCTGCCCCTGGATTGGATCTGTTTATGGTCCTCACTTTAGCTTTTCAATTAGAAATGGATTATTTTGGGGAGCACCATGCACTTGTGTTATGGGGGTGGGGGAGCAACTGAAATAGAAATAAATGACAGTTTGTTGTGTCCAGCTGCTGCTTGTAAATTTCAAAGTTTCAAATTTAATTGGATAGGTGCTGGGATATCGGACTAGATTTGTTCAGTCAGGTAACTGGGATTAGGATGTTGAATCAACTTAGGGTTTCAAGTTTCATGCCCTTTGTTTCAGAAGTGTTTGGGATATCTGCGTAAGTTTAGTGGGATTGTGATGGCCGAGGGAGCTGGTAGATAGACAGAAACTGGAGTGGTGGTGTATGCATCTATGATATTTAGAGTTTGGCACTTGTTTGTCTTGTAGGCTGATAAGTATGATCCAGGCGTGATACATTCTCGTTATGTTTCCTTGTTCTAAACACAGTATCGTGTTGGTATTAGATTGTTATAAGAAATAAAATTGACAGGTATTTTATCCTCCCCCTCTCCCAAAGTTGAAATGGGATTGTATGCTTGTCATGTAAAAGATAGACAGAAGATTGAGTTAGTATGTGTTTTGGTACAGTAGGGCTTATGGTTCTTTAATTAAGCCGTTTAAGGGGCTTTGACATGATGGAGGAGTTAAGTTAAGTTCTGGGAAAACAGTGCTCTCTGAAATGTTTAATGTCCTGAGTTGACCAGGCTTTAGAGGAGCCTTGAGTTAGAGATTTCATTGTTTGTGAGCTAGTCTTTTAATTTGGTGCAACATATTTTACATTTTGGGAGTCCATTTTGTTTGCTAAAATCTATGTCTGCCATTCTTTGTTCTATTTACTTTCATTCATTGAGTTCTTGTGTCTTATACATTGTTTGGATCCTGTAATATAAGCTGTATCTTTTGCTAGTTGTAAATGGGTATTTGATATTTGATTCTTGCAGCTGCAAATGGAGTTGTCATCGCTACTGAGAAGAAATTGCCATCTATTTTGGTTGACGAAGCATCAGTGAGTTTATTTCCATTATTGGATCCCTTTTTGTTCATTATTCTTGTTAAAATTTTATAAAATTTTCCTATGCAAATATCCAATGTTGGAAAATCCTTGGTGTCCCTACTGTGTGTTTTATACATGGTTTTAACACCTTCAGTGTGACACCCTTGATGGTCCCAAATATAAGCTACATTGCTTGATAGTTCATCCTTGAAAAAATAAATGGAAGATCAACACTGTCTTGTCCATTTAACTCAAACCCTGACTCCATACACCCATCTCTAATACTCCCTTATTCCCTCTGTTTCATATTTTAAAATTTATGGTGACTGATAATATTCTTTTATTAGATATTTAATGAATTTAATGCCTTGAAACAATCACATGAATGCTTCATGCAAGGCAATTTAGTGTGTTTGGTTTGCAGTTGCTAACCTAGAATTGTCTGTTTAATGGAAAAGAGATAAATTATTGCTTCTTGTTTTTATGCTTTGTAAAGTGCAAACAGATTCCCAAACACACCGGTGTTCTGTAAACACTGTCTTCCTTATCTTCCCAATACTATAATATATAGCACTTTTTTGCTTTTCTTTGGAAAATATTTGCTTAGTGGAATGATGTTCTTGCTATATTATAGTTAAGGATGTTTCAAAGTCTGTCCATTAATAAGTTAATCTTTTATGCAGTTTTTGCAAGCAGTTTGTCAATATTCTTTTAAAAAATTTTGAAGTTTCTTAATTCATTGTGCATTCTATGTATTTACACTCGGTTATATTTGATTGCAGGTCCAGAAAATTCAGTTATTAACACCAAATATTGGTGTTGTATATAGGTTTGTTTCTTTTACATATTTAAATAATTTGAAGTTATATATATTTTATATCATCGTTAATTCATTGTCTCCTGAGAGTGGTTACACATAATGGTAGTTAATGGTTTAACTTTGAATGTACTCTTAAACATGAGATGCCACTTAATTTACCTAGACATAAAATGAGGGAAGCACTAAGGGGCGTGACACAACTTTTTTGGGGAATGTTTTCCTTAAGGATGTAGGGAATAGAAATTGACATGGCACACTTAGATTAAAGACTTGCTAGATGGAAAATTAAGAAAAATTGTTGTGGATGGGAAGCAGCTAACTATTGCTTTTATATTGATTTAAACAGACAAGCATAGTTGCATGTGGCAGACTGTTAATCCACATTGTTTTATATCTCAATAAATCATGGTGGACTGCTTTAGGATTTCAATAGATTCTCTAATGAAAGAGATTCACTGGATTCAATCTGGTTGAGAATTGACTATTGACTTTTTTTTTCTGGGATAACAGGGAGGTGTTTGTATGTGAATGTTGAGTTTTGAAATCTATTTTGTCAAAAAGGAAATATAGAAAACAGAAAAATTTACTGTGTTCTTTTTGCGCTTTCAAAGAGATACTATTGAAATAATTTATTTTCTTTTGTTTAATTGTGTTTGAAACTTCATAATCAGACTTAGGATACCTTTTTCCATTTCTTTTAAGCTTTGGGTAAATGGAAATAAGTATTTGTCCTTGACTTGTGTTGCAAATATTCTTATTTACTTGACCTAAATTTGGTTTTTGTTCAGTGGCATGGGTCCCGATTTCCGAGTTTTGGTTCGAAAAAGCAGGAAACAAGCTGAGCAATATCACCGGTTATATAAAGTATGGTATTCAAAATTCTATTCCGGTACATTTTTTCTTTCTTTGTATCAAGTTTTTGTCTGCATGTACTTAGTTAAGTTATAATTCAGTTATAGTGTGTGCTACGCATTCAAACTTGGCATTATTATGAATTATATTGTCACAATGATTGAAACTTGGTTGGACATCTATAGGTAGTTTTAATATTTCTCATGCAATGCATATTTTATTTACTATATGAATAATTCTAAAATCTTTCATTATCTGTATACCTTGAGAAGGGAAACAGATAGCTTTAGTAAAAGGATATTTTCGAGGAAATAATAAAGGATAAAATTCTCTATATGATTATGATTGAACTACAGTCAGTGCAATGACTTAGCTAGTTATGATGAAAGGTTGCTAGGAGGAGAAATAGAGGATGAAATTCTCTATATAGTTGTACAGATTGCTTAATTTCATCTATTATAATAGGATTCATCAAAAGTAGTCACTAATGCATTATTAAGTTAGGAGAACAATTAAATTCAGTGTTACATTCAAGCTCAAATGAGCAAAAATTTTGTTCTTATTATTATCCATTCTTCTAAGATTTTATGTAGACTAGTGAAGGAAAATGTGCCTAGTGACACCTTGTGCCCAACAGTTAATTATTGAGGACGTGGATTGACATTAGAGAAAAATCACTTCAGCATTTTTTTATGCTCTAGTCTACTGTATTTTTCCAGTGAGACTATGTTGCTTATTTGGACAGATAAAGGAAATACATTGAAAGCTACAAGTAGTTGTAGATTTGATATCTTTATGATTATGTATCATATGAACCTGGAAATCTTGAATTATTACTGGTGCATTACCTTTTTGCATCGGTTGATTTTGTAATTCTTGTTTGTAGGATGTATTGATGATCATCATACATTGATTAGATTTCAATAAATTGCTTGTTTTTCTTTTGTTGATAGTTTTGAGTACTTCTTATTAGAATAATGCAGTACATGTTATCTTAATGAATATTATACATATGCTCTTCTTTCTCTTTCTGTTTGCTTTTGGTATTCTATGTTGAATCATATGTTAATTGTGGGTGGTATCTGATAATATGATCAAAATTTGCAGGAACCAATTCCTGTTACTCAACTTGTCAGGGAAGTTGCTGCAGTAATGCAGGAGTTTACTCAGTCTGGGTAATTATTTCCTTATAACATGTACTCTTACTACTGAAATTTACCTTTTTAACTCACATTATAGAAGTTTATTTCATGCATACAAAAAAATCATTGACAATTTGATATCTTAAATAAGAGTGATTGCTAGCTCTGATTTTTTGTTTTTTCTTCTTTTTCCCCTCATCAGCATTTTTTAGTCATTGATTCTCTATTAATTTTATGACAAGTGTTTTTCACAGCAAAGTCAAAATTTCATAATTCTCCTTTCCAATGTTAAGGAGATTAATTGTTGTAATTAAATGTGGAAGGATTGATTTGCCAAAATCTCAATTGTCGTTAGCTTCTGCAAACCAGGAACATGATTATAAATTATAATTCTCTGAAAATTGGAAGCTTGGAGTAAGTCTAAATTTAGGTGCCTAAAACAGCCTTATCTTAAAAGAACTTGCATGGATCAATATTGACTGAGCTGTTACTCTAATTGTTTTCTTTTCCTCTGGAGTCATATGTTTGACAAATTGATAACATTGTGATCCATATAGAAATTTTGATGTCAAAATTAGGCAGATTTTTATAGTAGAGGGATCCTTAATAAGCAGCTGAGTAAATGCACAGAACTTATTGATCCTCTGATTACTTCTATATGCACTCAACTACCACATATACTTGCCATTTTTACCTTTCATCATTTTTTGAATTCTGACATTTCTGTTTTGATGCTGATAGAGGTGTTAGGCCTTTTGGAGTGTCTCTGCTAGTTGCTGGGTTTGATGATAATGGGCCACAATTATATCAGGTGTGTTGATATTCATGTTACTCTTTACATATTTGCATTTAAACCCTGGTAAATGGCCATCACTTTTATGTAACAAGTATAGACTTCAGAACTCATTGGTGAAAAGAATAAGATCTCCTTAGATTCTCTGAAGATATTTTTAATCTTGAAAATTTGGTATTGCATAAATTCTACACTATCTTGTTTTTTCACAAATATTTCAGAGCATTGTTGTCTATATTACTACGTGACTTGTTCAAAATTACTACTTTGAATTTTAAAATGAGTCCCAAGTTGTGATTTGATGTAATTTTTTACTCTAGGTGGATCCATCAGGTTCATATTTTTCTTGGAAAGCTTCCGCTATGGGAAAAAATGTTTCTAATGCAAAGACGTTTCTTGAGAAGAGGTAAGCTTTTCATTAATAGGGACACTATAAGTAAAAAAATTTGTGTAGTGCATCTATATTTGTTTGTGGATGACATAATGATTAATAGCTGTAAAGATACTCAAGTCACTTAGTTAGAGCTTAAAATCCTTTGAATATGGTGAGATGGCTCAGATTGTAGCTAATGACTCATTGATGTTGTAATCTCTCGAGGACTTTTAACCACAGTAGCTGAAGTCTGTTTGCCAATGCACGCCTCAGAATTTATTTATATATCACTTGATTGTCCACTTACAGGTACACAGATGATATGGAGCTTGATGATGCAGTCCACACAGCAATTTTGACTCTGAAGGAAGGGTAGGAGAACATAATATTTCAAGTTTATGCACTAAATTAAAATGCTGTAGTGAAAATGACATGTTTAACTATTACTCTGATTTAGGAGATGCAACAGTTATTTTTACATTTTTGGGTCATTTTCATCACTTTTTGGTCAAATATTATTTCCTACAACATGTGGTTGTGCATGATCGCGTGTTTCACAATTATAGTTTGGAGGAGGAAAATCCATCTAAGATTGGTTTATTAGGTTCAAATGAGAATCTTGAGGCCAATCATATATCTAAAGGGTATTTAGGGCAGTGGTCTTGACTTGACTTGACAATTACCTATGGTCCATCCCTCCAAACCATCATCACATCAGCTGGCTTTATTCTTGCAAGTTATCAACCAAGTTTATTACATTAAAAGCTTACGTAGTTTTTATTTTTTTTGTTTTTTATTCCCATCTGTTGTATTTGAAACCTATAAGATCTTTGTTTAGTCTCTTGAAACGTTTCTCATTTTTCTATTCTGTTTTGTATTGTGGGTGTTTTCCAGGTTTGAGGGACAGATCTCAGGGAAAAACATTGAAATTGGCATAATTGGTGCTGATAAAAAGTTCAGGTGCATATCTCATCTTAAATATACCTAATTTGCTTTTCACGGTCTATATTTTATATGAACCTTACTACCTCTCCTCTGGTTATTTTAATCAGACAATTGAGTTGTCTTTTGGGACTTTCGGTTGTTCCGGCTCAATCATCCTTGTACACATACTTCTATTGTCCGACTGGGTGACTTAATACTAGTGTTTATGTTGCAGGGTATTGACACCAGCCGAAATTGATGACTATTTGGGTGAAGTAGAATAGTGTGCAATGAAGAAATGCTGTATTCTTGAAGTTGTTGTTTGTTTCACAGTTGAGTTTAATTGGTAGCTTAAATACCGACTCTGTGATGACAATAGTGAATTTTCGAGCTACTCGATGTTGTGACCTGGAACAAGCCGATAAACCTTTTTCCAAAGTCATCAACATTATCAAACATAATTTGGTTGACGATGCGGCAATGATTTCTTAATGAATATTGATAATTTATTATTTTGCCCTTTTAGAGTCTTATTGTTCTCTATCATTTTATACGTATTGCCGGTTAAGTTCGATGCAATATAATTGCAATGGAATCTCAAATTCCTTTCCTGCCTTCACCTTTCCTTGTCATCGTCTTCATTTACTTCTGCAGAAATCGACTCTTATATCCTTGGGATTTCACTATTCCATGGGCCACAATTCGTAATATATTTTCTCATATTTATGAATTTTTAAATATAAATCCCGATTATTTATTTATTTATTCCAAAATGTTACTAACATTTATAAAGTTGAATAACCAGTAAAATTATATATATACTTCTCTAGAGTTAAGCTTATGCATAATTTTTTTTTCTATATTTGATGTTAAATTCTTGTTGAATTAAGTTTCAAATAAGTTCGTTTTACGCAGATTACAATATACATCTCTTTATTTCCTATATTACGCGTTCTTAGAAACTGAAGTTGAAGGTTTTCCCATTATCCTTTTGTTTACTCTAATTAAAAGTAAAGTTTATTAATTAATTTAAAGACTTATGAACTTTCAATCAATCAGAAATTATTGATAATATAATTTAAAGATGAGCATAATGATTTATGATTTAATATTAAGGTAAATATTCTAAACTGATAGAATATATCACATTTTCCCCTAAAACTATTAAACATTATGTTTAAACAATGGAAAACATTATTGTTAATCTCAAATATAACAATTTATTATAATTATTATTTATTGAAATACTTATTTTATTATTATTATTATTATTATTATTATTATTTGTTGTTGTTTTAAGATTTTGATTAATTATATTTATGATAACAGATAAAAAAATTGATAAGGAGCGCAATTTGTTGCTATCCACTAATTCTTTTCAATTCATCCATTCATTCATGGATGCTACAAAATATGAATCCATGAGCATATAGTATCTCATCTCATTCTAAAAGACCTTTTATTTGGAACACAAATACGTTAGCCAAACAAGTTTCGTTAGATTTTGACTCCACAATTGTCCCAATACAGATAACGTTACTTGATCAACATGTATCAACGCTATCACGAAGGAGAGAAACATATTCTCCATCAAGAGTGGGAATATGGAAACCTGGCAGCTACGTCATACCATACAAAACACATTTTGCAATATGAGTAAGGTAATGATCAACTCATCGATACCAATTCCTTGGTTTGAACGCTGAGATAACAATGATCATTGAAAACAATTCACAACATGACCATTACAATTATAACCATTCTTCATCTTTGTCCATGGACAACAAAATGGTATAAAATGAGAGCTGATAATGTAAGGAAAATGTAAACACTTTGCCAATGGCCAACAGTGTGGTTAACCTGCTCTCAATAGTCCTGCTTTGCATAACAGCAGCTCAGGGAAGGAAAACACTTCACATAAGCCATAAATGGCTAACGTCCTATCCAGTTATTAATGGTATTGATGGTATCTGCAAAACAATGGTGGAGACACAAGGTTACACCTGTGAAGAACATCAGGTGCATATTACTATGTTGAGAAAAGCTGGTAAAACATTATTTTGAACATACTCTTTCTGATTGGTTGAAATTTATTGAAAATTACAAAATTTTACAGGCTGCATGTCATATTTAATGAGCATTGTTCCTGATTTTTGTAGCTTTTATTATATTCCAATCAATGAGAAAGTGTGTTTCTAGTTCACCTATAGTTAATCCTGTTGCATTTACCTGCCATTGATTATGACGGCATTTAGGGAATTATTTTTTGTTGGAGCCAGGTTACAACAGAGGATGGCTACATCTTGAGCCTGCAAAGGATGCCGGTTGGGCGGTCCGGTAAGAAAGCCAACAAACCGCCGGTGCTATTACAACATGGTATCTTCAGTGTAAGTTGTGTTAATGCAAAGATAAATACATAAGAGAAGCAAAAATGTTTGGCCATAGCTATTTATATCTAAGCACTAATAGGAGAAAAAAAAAGAAAAGTTCAAATGAATTAAGTTTTTCCTAGAAGAAAAAGCACTTAACTTTTACAAAAATTCTTTCATCTAACTTCTGCATTAAGTTCATTTCACCTTCGTTCAATTCATTTTGTCTTTAAATTTTTTTTTTTGTGATGTTTATAGAGAGGTTTAGAACCTATTTTAAAAATGTAGAGGCAACATGTGAATGTTGAACGAAGATAACTTGTGTTGTGTGGTTTCAGGACGCTATAACATGGCTTTTCAATTCTCCAGATGAATCATTGGCATTTATCTTAGCAGACAATGGATATGATGTGTGGCTTGCCAATACTCGTGGGACGAAATATAGCAGCGGGCACACATCGCTTAATTCTAATGATGCGGTGCTTTTCCTTATGAGATTAGATACATGCATTTCCGTTTTCAAACGTTGAGTAAACCAGATGATAGCTTCTCTAATGGATAATTGATTTATTCATTATGTGTAGGCTTATTGGGATTGGTCATGGGATGAATTAGCTAGTTATGATCTTCCTGCTTTTGTCCAATATGTGTACAACCACACTAGTCAGAGATTACACTATGCAGGTCATTCCTTGGTGAGTTCTTAGTTTCATTCTTTTCGAGATTTTAGATTTTCTTTTCTCATTTTAAATATAATTTCTGTTCCTAGAGTTTCTTTGTTTTAGTTCTTACTTCTTAGGTTTAAAAATCATTAGAAATTGGTTATTGGTATACAGTGAGACCAAGGCCAAATTCTAGTGATTTTGAAATTATAGGGATTAAAATTTAAACTGATACAAGTATGAGGATTGAAATCAAAATTGAGAAAAACTTTAGCGACTAAACAGTATGTGGTTAAACCTTTTACATTTCTAGTGTGTGTATAATTAATTAACAATAACCTGAAATTTCAGGGAACTTTAATGGCTTTGGCTGCTTTCTCTCAAGGGCAAGTGTTGAACATGTTGAGATCAGCTGCCTTACTTAGCCCAATTGCTCATATGAATCAGATTACATCACTACCTACAAAACTTGCTGCTGACACGTTTATGGCAAATGTGAGAGATAGAAGAAGATCATTTAGCTGAGCATTAAAAAACATCTATTGAATACAATTTGATTTGATGAAAACATTTTCCTTTTTCTTAATCTCTAACAGGACATATACTGGTTAGGACTCCGGGAATTTATTCCCAACGGGTAAAAGAAAAACCTTAACCTTGGAAATTTACTGTCTCTTTCTGTAATATGTTTGAGTGCACAAGAGTTCACTTCACATGTAAAAAAAACTTCCAATAATAGCAATGTTTCATAATGAGCAGGGATGCTGCAGCAAAACTTGTAAAAGACATCTGCAATGGTCTACACTTGAACTGCTCAAACCTAATGACACTTTTCACAGGTGCTATATATATTACTAGCATGTCCATGGATTAAACTTTTCACTTTACGCATATATAATAGCAGATATTGACATTATTTGGGTATTGATTACCCTGGAACTGTAGGTCCAAATTGCTGTGTAAATTCATCCAGAATAGATGTCTTTCTTGATCATGAACCTCAGCCAACAGCAACCAAGAATTTGATCCATCTATCTCAAAGTAAGCAACATTTTTAGTGTGTGACCAAGTGCCATTTGATTTTGAAGCATGCATTTCTGATTTGGAGTACTAGTTTGTGCATAATTTATTGTTGATGTTGCTTCCTATGCATTTGGTATAGTGATAAGAACAGGAGCAATAACAAAATATGATTATGGTGATCAAGTACAAAATATGCAGCACTATGGACAACCAGTTCCTCCTCCTTATGACATGACCAAAATTCCAGAGGAATTCCCTCTTTTTCTCAGCTATGGAGGTCAAGATACGTTATCTGATGTAAACGATGTGCAAGTTTTGCTTAATGACCTCAATAATCATGGTGGGAGCAAACTCGTGGCATTGCTCAAGGAAGATTATGCTCACATTGATTTTGTTTTAGGTGTTAATGCTAATCAAATGGTTTATGATCCTATGATGGATTTCTTTAAGATTAAGTGATTTTACAACTATTGTTAATTATACTTCAAATTATGTAAATATTTTTTCATTGAGTTAGATCAATAGAATGTGTTGTATTTTACTTTCTAATCTGTCACAAAAATGTTTTTTGTTATCAGTTCCAATTTAACACCCTACTAGGGTCTATTCTAATCCTTGGTCATATCATTTATTTAAGATGCTTATTGGTTCCTTTTCCTTATCAATGCAATTGTGAAAACTAGATTAATATTTGTGATTCTATGGTTAAGAATTCTCTTAATTCGGGAGGCCAATTTGTTGAGAGTTGTAAACAAATTGTGTTATATTGAAGTAACAAGGACAAATTTCAGAGTATCCATAATATCCTGTTCAAGTCCTTAATAAGACATTCCTCTTGGTTATGTGGTGCTACTGCTATTCATGAAGACTAGAGAAACTACATAATGACTTGGAGGAGTTTGATTTATTCAGGCAAAAATGATAATCAATGTCTGAGTCTTTTCAATGCCAGAACTCGTATTTATTTGTTCATTTTTTTTAAATTCTTTGGCCATTTGGCGTGTTACCGTTAAAATACACATCAGAATTTCAGCCATTAATTATTTAATATAGGTTTCTGTCCCCCTTAACTTGAATTAAAATATTGGATATACTTATTTTATTTTAAATAGTGGGTAAATATATCCCTATTTTCTCTCATTAATATATCTTCTCATTTGTAAAAGTTAAATTTATGTAATGATGAAATTGTGTCACAGATATCTACATGACATGTTATCTTACATGGTGCATTTTACATCCTAAAAGAAAAAGAAAAAAATCTAACCAGTTCCAGAGATCCGTGGTGCACATTTAATGTATCATCGGTTTAGTTTACACCAAGAATTTGTTTAAATGCTACAGATGATAAGATATATATAAAAAAAAAGGAGAAAAGAAAGAAAATAAAGAAATCAAGTCTTCCTTCTCTTTTGAACAAAGGCAAGGGAAAGGAAACAAAATCATAGATCGCGACTGTTCAGGACAACTTTATCTGTCATGTTTATTTCTCTTTAAACACTTTAAAAGTTGCATCTTTGGTTCTGAATGTACTTTTGGGTGCTAAACATATTTTTGAAAAATAAAAAATTGTTTGTATCATAGATTGAGTATAAGTTAGTTGAAAATGTATAAGATTGAATAATAGTCGGGTAATGGAAATTAGAGGGAAAAAAAAAACTGTACCCTGATTACAATGATACAGAAAAGGATAGATGAGCTTGTATAAACCTTTCAGAATAAGAAAAAAAAAAAAAAAAAAAAAAAACAGTTTTACATATACCCTTCTTCCAGAATCATTCACATGCTTATCCGCCACTGCAAATTATCCCTCAAGATTTTTGTTTCAATTTACCTGTTCTCTGATAAAATACCATTTTTCCTTTTAGCACCAAAAACAACTAATTCTTGAAGATTTATGCAGATTGAATTTACATACATATATTAAACATTTTTCCTGTTTCAAGCCGGTGGTTAGAAATGAGCTAAATAAAAGTTCCACGGAAATTGGATCCAAATGACTGCTCGTATGTATAAAGCTACTTTTTGATCTTCCAGTTATGGGATGTGCGAGGTCCGCTTGCAATGCCTTCATAGTAGTGTGAATCAAGTTTTCCTTTGTTCCAAGCTTTGACAAAATCAGTAAACAACTCACGTGCTGACTCGGACAAAAGATCAGAGAAAAATACATTTTTCTCTTCCTTTAACCAGGCCGCAAACTCGTTATTCTTTGCAAAATAGTCATCATTTGACAATTCTTGGAATTCCTACATCCAAAGTAACCAAGATAAAACGTAATACCAATGAATCAATAGATAAATAATTTCAACAACCATTTCTAACAACTAAAAGCACATAACTAGATCAATATAAGCCAATCAACAAGATATCAGTTTCATCCTTTCGAAGGAATGCCATGAAGTTGACGGGAATGATCTTAAAAGCTATTTGATAATTATACAGCAGCAACTAAATAATGTCATCAAGGTAAGTGAAAGAAACACTGTTGGACAGTTGAAAGTTGTAGCATGAACTATTTTTTTTATTTTTTTCTACATTTATTAGCTCTCCTTGAACATATCCATGAATTTTGTAGAAAAAAACAATGCCGTTAAATGTGAGGGGGGAAGAATAAAATTTAATAGATGCAACTGTTGAACAGAAAAGCATGAATGCAATAAAGAAAGCAAGGATCTGACCCAGATACTGCATGGTAGTAATACAATATTATTTTGCATGTAGCATAATTAATAATATTGGCAATAAAACTCACCATAGGGCCATCACTTTTTCTATGCTTGCTTCTGTGCTTATCTTTTGACTTCCCTGAAATAACAACAGATTGTAGATTTACCATGAAAAAGAAGAGTAAATTAAGCAAAAGTCTAGTCCAGAGACAACAAAAACCAAACAATTTAATGCTCATCTAATATAATATTAAGCAATAAAGACTGGAAAAATCATAATAGAGAGGAAGAGCATGAACATCTCTACTTCTCGTGTTTAAAAGAAAGTATTGAACTATTTAGAAAGAAAATTCTTCAATTGCAAATTTCTAGTTTTCCCACCATTCACCAGCAGAGAAAATTCTTCAATTGCAAATATGACGTTCCATTATCTCAATAATATTGACAATACCCACAATACCCATACCATCATTATGGCTATCGTTATATAGCCAATAACAAATATATCATAAACATTGCCAAAGAGAAAGATAGGAAAAAGTAGCAAAAAGAATTTGTAATGAAATGACAGAGTAGTGGCTAATAAGGTAGGCCTGCCTAGGGGGATTATCAACATCCAGGGGAGAGATGCAAGGCTAAGAGCTGATCAGCAGGAGCCCTTATAGGGTGAGAATTCCCTATTTCCACCTTGAGGGCAATGTAGAATTTCAAGGGGGAAGTATTGATAACATATACGAGGAGGAGGACTCAATAGGGACAGTCGTTAGGCAGTTTGTCTATCAGTTATTTAGTGAAACTAGTTATTAGTTAGTAAGTTTGGTTAGATAAATAGGGAAATCAGATCAGGGAGGGTCTTCTGTAAATATGATTGGGGGGCGAGCATTTAGTGAAGGGAAAGATCTTTCATGAAGGGGAGCCATAAGGAAAATTCTATTCTCCACATTGTCTTCTGTTTTAAATAATAAAGTTCCACTCTTTTGATTCGTTCAACCTGAGTTCCATCTATTTTATGAGTTCCTATCAAGTAGTACGTGTTATGCCTACACTTTCTCCTATTAGGGTAGGAAATCAAATATGCTGCAGGATAGACATGATCATAAGAAATACTCTCATTGTCCAAGACCCAAGAAGTAAGACTAAATGAATTCACATTTACATTCGATCTGCTGAGTTATGTTACAGAACTGTGGGTGAGACAGCCTTTCCTGTTCATACACCTATATATGAATAAAGAAAGATGCTGAAAATTGATCTTAAATTCAAATTGCACACAAAATATTGGCATGCCTTTTGGACTAGAACATTGAACATTTTTAGCAAATAAAAAATTAGTGCCCATAGCTTCTCGCTTCCTAATCAAACAGGCTTAGGTTTACAGTCTCTTAATAACGTCCAAATCATGTTGACTACAGATAACCCTTTCGTTTATTCGTTTCTCTAATTAGATTATTCCATAAAGTAGAGATATGGTCCTCATCTCTAACATAAAACTATAACAGCCAAAGGCACTTTCAAAGCAACGTTTCTTACACAATAATTCAAGGTTAATGCTATTATATTATTTAAGATTTGAAACTAAAAATCCCACCAAGGTTGAACTTTGTTATCCAATCCAGATAATTGGCACACAAATATGCAAGTATCAAATCCTGCAAGCACTACAGTTAAGCAACAACAAAAGCCTTGCTCCACTAGACGAGGTTGACTACATGGATCACATGAAGCTTTTCGACTAAGTTTAAGACCAAATTCAAAGATATTATTCAGTATAAGGTTCTTCTTAACAACGTCACCCAACGTCACCCAATCGCTTCTAGTCATGTAGCACCAATATCCCCCAACTCATCTCCAATTCCTATTTTCAAATGACTAGAAACCATGCAGTCTACTCTTAGGTGCTTTGAATGACCTTCTTTGTACGTGTCCAAACCATCTTAATTGATTTTCTGTCATTTTCTCCTCAATTGGTGCTACACCAATGCTCTTTATAAACAACCTAGTTATCAACGGGTGAATCCTACCACATAAACATGCACTAAGTCCCATGGCAGTGCCACCGCAGACCTCCCTTCACAAATTTCCTATGGCAGTTGGCCAAAAATCTGCCACACCATTCCACCATAGGGGTCATGGTGCCACCATTTAGCAACATTGATACATTCATTTCGTATCCTGCCTTTCCTTGTGTGGCCATAAATTCACCTTAACAATCTCATTTCTACGTTTTTCTCTTATAACACTTACAAAACTATCCATCATAAGCAAAGGTTAAAAAATAAAAGATACAACCCCACTGACCCTTATCAGATTTTTCTTTGGAATGCTTGCGAGATTTCTTGTCTTTCCTTTTCTCTTTCTTTTCTCTCTTCCGTTCCTTCTTTTCTTCATCCTCTAACGTTCTCCGCCTCTTGCTTCTCTTCTCATCTGTCAATTAACCCCACCATTAACAAACAACAATAATGATAAACGCGCAAACACAAACACATAGATAAGTAAGTATAAAATCCTTCTTTTTTCTTCTTGTACACTATTTTGAAGAACCTACGAATCAAATTTTGTTCCAACCCCAAAACTTAGTTGGGGGTTTTGCAGAAGTTGGAAGATGTTGCATAGCGAGGGAAAGTGAAGTACCTTCTTCGCGTTGGGAGGGTGAAGTTCGTTTCGATTTCCTGTCGCTTCCCATGATTGTTTCACGCAAAATCTGACAACCAAAATTGCTCAGAGTGACGCTCCAAACCTGATGCTCAAAAGTTTTTTGTTTAATGTAAAGAAAAAAAAAATGTAAGATAAATT